TTATATATATATACTCAATAAAAATATCAATTACCAAATATATTTAAAATATTTAAATTAATTTAATAATAGATACTAGCCTATTAATTATATTAATGTTAATCATTTAAATTTTATGTATCATTATTAAAATTTAAATGACCAAGTTAATAAAATTTATTAATTATTAAAAATAACTATCATTAATATTAATTTTAAATTAATATGTTAATAGACGTAGTGTTTTAATTGGAATTTATTTAGGGTGTATTTAAGATTTTAATAGCGGTTGTAGTTTAAAATATTTTTTGTTTAGAAATATATTAAAATAATTTTTTAGTTTTTTAAAAGTTATTTTTAATATTAATATATAAAAATATATAAAAAATTTAATTTTATACAAAATTTAAAAAAACAGCACGTTTTCCAAACATAACTTTACGAAGTTGCAACACTCCAAGAACTGCCTCATCCATCGTCAATGTGGAAAAGCCCAGCAAACCCATTTTGTTGTGACTTACTTTTCGCTCCTGTAGCCGACGATGTTGTTGGTGGTGGTGGCTGTCATTGATACTTGTAGCTATGGTTTCTGTCACGATGGTCGTCGCTGTTGCTGATGCTTCAACCATGCTCCTCCAAGATCTTTCATGCAACCAACCAAATCTACCATCGCGCATACCTCTAACAATCCCAAGCGCCACCGCGGTTTGCCGCCAGAATCCACAGGTAGACACATAAAAAGATCGAAGAGGTAAAGGAGATGATATTACATGACGATGAACTCACATCAGCTGCTGTGATCGTTAATTATTGCTGTTGTCGTCGTCATTTATGTGTCATGGGCAGCAATGTATGGGGGTGTGACTGCTAGTGCCGATGTGGAGGCTCGAGATAGCGGAGAGACCGCTGTTGATGGCTGACGATGGTCGATTTTGTGATGGGATTGAGTATGGCTTTGCAAAATAACAAGAAAGGGCACGAGAAACTGTGGTGAGAAACAATCCTGATTGATGTTATTTATTACGGCTTTCATTTGCAATGTTCCACAAAATGCCAAAGAGAGGGTTGTTAATACATACAATAACATATTTTTGTTTGCATTGAAAATATAAATATAATTCTTTAAAAGTGAATATGCAAAATATTCACATGCCATGATATTTTTAATAATTATCTCAAAAAAATAAAAAAAAATAATATAGATTGACCCATTAACAAAAAAAAATAATGATATGAATTAATATAATTTATTATATATATCAAAATTTAATACTCTAATGACAAATACTACATTTATGATCAATTTTAACATTGAAGAAATATATGGGTTTTTATATATGCATGCGAGGGTTTCTAATGATAAACATTATTTTTTATTTAAAAACTTACATTATTAATTTAAAAACTTACATTATTAACTTAAGCATCTCATTTTTTGTCAATTACTTGAAATATGATATGTTTACTACTCACATGTGTAATTAATAATAAAATAATTAAAAATATCTATATATTATAATCACTTAACAAATATCTATCTTAATTGTGTTCAATACTTGTTGTATCAAACGCAAAATTCAAATAAAAAGATGAAGGTTAAAATAATGTTTGAAAAAATATTTTCTTTTTGATAATTAAGAAAACAAGAATTAAAAAACTAAAAGTATTATGCATGCATTGAATAAATTGTATATGTGCCTCCAAGAAGATATGGAGGCAGCATGCTAGAAGTGTTTTGTAATATTCTATTAACCTTGTAAACATAATGTATTTTTAATAAGGTCTCTAATGTGAATTATGAGTCAAAGGTGGCTGGGTTTACCTTTGATCTTCAGGTACATGTACAATACAAATAGTTGTCTTTCACAAATAATTTCGATTTTTATTTTTTTTGTGTATTTTCAATTTTGATTTCCAAAAGATTTAAGATTTAGAAGTTTTTAGAAATGTGATAGCGTATTAAAATAATTTAAAAATATTAAAAAAATAAATTTAAACTTTCATGAAAACAAGTTGAATTGCAGCACGAACAAACACTTTCGTAGATTGTTAGGTGGAAACTCGAGTTTGAATTTCCCTTTTGTTTTTTACAAACACACTCGGGCCTTTTTTTTCACAAAAAAATAATAATAATCAAGTGTCAACTTACAATTCATGGCATTCTTGAAAGTTCAACCCTTTTATTCCTTTAGAAAAAGAAATAAAAGAGTTGGTTCATTCTTCCATGGATCACAGAACAAGAAGGGCACTTAAAATATGATCATCGTCAAATTAGGTAGCCCATCACACAGCACATCTAAAAATTGGGTGCATGGGAAAGGTTGCAAAATCGAAGCAACGGTCACATTTAGACCACCTCCCAGTTCTTACCTACCAATGCCAAGTACCAACCAAAATAGAATACTATTTTGATGGCCAAATTTGACCCGCTTATAAATCCAGACAAACGAAGAGATCATCACCAGTTGTTATTGTTTCCTTCTAACTAGTCCCTTTCTTCCTTACTGATCTGTGCACTGTAAGCAACTACAACTCATATGTACCTTTCACTGTATTTCTTCTGTTTTTAGCATTAATTATTATTGTTGTTGTTACAACAACTAATCTCTCCTGCCTCTTCAATTCCCAGATCTTTGATTTTCTTGGGTTTTCTTTAGTTTCTCCAGAATCCATTTCCAAGGTGTGTGCTTTTTATTTTTTGTTTTATGAAGATGGGATATTTTTTAGTGGGTTTTTTTCTTCTATTTGTTTGCTTTAGAGATCCTAGTGAGAAAAGACAAATCATTAGGGTTTCCATAGCTGTCAAGATTTAGTTCATAACAACTCATATTAGGCTCCAGTTTTTGTTTTTGGTTTTTTTTTTATAATGTTTCCGGGGTTTATTAAGGAATTGGTGATCTGGGATTTGGACTTCTCTCTATGATCGTGCATGTGAATCTGGTTTTGTTGTGATCAAAGTACAGTTTGAAAAGTCTAACTTTTCATGGTTTCTTTGGTGATGAGCTTATCAGATTCTTGTCGAACTGCTTAGCATTTGTGTAAAGTTGATTGCATTCATATTAATCTGATTGATTAATTGTTTTATTGGTAATCATGACCTTCTGAATGTCGGCTTGAATTTAAGTGTCATGTGAAGATCTTCTTGTTATTAATTTGTGATCTCTAACTTTAGGTCTTCCAATATGCCCAAAAATTGAAACAATATTCAAAGGAATGTGAAGGGAATATATTTGCTAACCTTTGTTTAAGAATCTAATCTGTTAAATTGTTTTTTCAGTAACATTCTTGATATATTTTTAGTTTTTCACAAAATATCTCATTAGTGATCATTTTGGACAGGGTAACTATGGCTGCTCCCCCCAAACCAACAAGAATAGGCCTTGCTGGTCTGGCTGTCATGGGCCAGAATCTGGCCCTTAATATCGCAGAGAAAGGTTTCCCCATTTCTGTTTATAATCGGACTACCTCCAAAGTTGATGAGACTGTTGTGAGGGCTAAAAAAGAGGGAGATCTTCCCTTATATGGCTTCCATGATCCTGAATCTTTTGTGAAGTCAATCCAAAAGCCTCGAGTGATAATTATGCTTGTTAAGGCAGGGTCACCTGTTGACCAAACCATAAAGACTCTTTCTGCCTACCTGGAGAAGGGTGATTGTATCATTGATGGTGGAAATGAGTGGTATGAGAACACTGAGAGGAGAGAAAAGGCTATGGCTGAATTGGGCTTGCTCTACCTTGGAATGGGAGTTTCAGGTGGTGAAGAGGGTGCACGTAATGGGCCTTCTTTGATGCCTGGAGGTTCCTTTGAGGCTTTCAAGTACATTGAAGACATTCTCCTTAAAGTAGCAGCTCAAGTTCCTGATAGTGGCCCCTGTGTGACTTACATTGGCAAAGGTGGGTCTTGTAATTTTGTCAAGATGGTTCATAATGGAATTGAATATGGTGATATGCAGTTGATTGCTGAAGCATATGATGTACTAAAATCAGTTGGAAAGTTGTCGAATGATGAACTCCATAGTGTTTTTTCAGAATGGAACAAGGGTGAGCTTCTGAGCTTCTTGGTTGAAATCACTGCAGATATATTTGGAATTAAAGATGATAAGGGAGAAGGATATTTGGTTGACAAGGTTTTGGACAAAACTGGCATGAAGGGTACAGGTAAGTGGACTGTGCAGCAAGCTGCTGATCTATCAGTTGCAGCTCCTACAATTGCCTCTTCTTTGGATGCAAGGTTCCTAAGTGGTTTAAAGGAGGAACGAGTTGAAGCTGCTAAAGTCTTCAAAGCAGGTGGCTTTGGGGATATTTTGACTGATCAAGTGGTGGATAAGAAGCAGTTGATCGATGATGTCAGGCAAGCTCTTTATGCATCCAAGATTTGTAGTTATGCACAGGGGATGAATTTGATCCGTGCAAAGAGTATTGAGAAGGGATGGGACTTGGAATTGGGAGAACTGGCTAGGATTTGGAAGGGTGGTTGTATTATTCGAGCAATATTTCTGGACAGAATCAAGAAGGCATATGATAGGAATCCTGATCTTGCCAACCTTCTAGTGGATCCAGAGTTTGCAAAGGAAATCATTGAGCGCCAGTCTGCCTGGCGCAGGGTTGTATGTCTTGCAATCAACTCAGGTATTAGCATTCCTGGTATGTCATCCAGTCTGGCTTATTTTGACACTTACCGGAGGGAAAGGTTGCCAGCTAATTTGGTCCAAGCTCAACGAGATTATTTTGGTGCTCATACATATGAAAGGGTCGATGTGGAAGGATCTTTCCATACTGAATGGTTCAAGATTGCAAGGCAGTTGAAGAATTAAACCTTTTCCTGGTGCTATCAAGCTTAATTAAGACTTTCAATAAGACAATAACTTCTGCTCTGGACTCTATTCTGGGTAGAACTTGCATCACCCTTTTTTCATGAAATTTTTCTCAACCAGGTTCATCAAATCCAATTGAGTATTTAGACTGTCTTACTTTTATATGTTGTGGTTTTTCTTGGCAGTTCTGCTTTTGTATTTTATTTTCACCGGATTCCTCATCCAAGCTTGTAGCCCCATTTCATTTTAAAGAGATATTTAATGGTGCTTTTGAGCAATAAGAGTATGAAATCAGATGTTTGAACAATAATTTCTCTTTTGGTGTTATTTTCTTTATTTGCTCTTCACCAACAATATATTTACTTTACAATATTGCCGTCCACTTGATGTTGGTTTATACTTTTCAACTTTACATTTGAATTTGTTGTGCCTAATTTTTACATGAGGTCCTAGATTTGGTTGCCTTCTATAAGAACAGAGGAGAGCCAACCACCAGATGATGGGGGATCGTGTAAATCTTCTACCTTATTTAATAGCAGGGATGTCTTTTGTAGTCAGGTTCTGAAATTCTAAACTGGCGTCCAGTTAAAACATATTCATTCACCTTAATACTATGATTATTTAGATAATTGAGTTATTGAATACGTGATGAATTTTGAAATTATTCAAATAAAAGACATAAAATAACCCGTATGTGTGGTAGTTGTTGATCAAAAAAGGCATTTTGAGGGGATGAAACTCAGGGTTTGGCTGTTTTTGTAATGACTATAGGCAAGCAAAATGTATATATTCAATGCTGCAACTATCACTTGAATTCTGTCATCATTTATCCAATTAAACCCGTGCTAACCTTTTACGAAGTAACAATCTTATCTTGAAACATCTCTTGCATCTGGTTTTTTTCAGAAACAGAAAAGTTATGCTAATGATCTAGAAGTAATAGTACAATAGTCGGTTATCGCTTCTATAATTATAATGAAGAAGGTTGTGTGTTGCCCCAATTATATGTTCATTTGCATTATTACTACAATTATTAACTATATCATTTTCCCCAATACAGAAGATTCCTTGGCATGCTACAATTCAATAATTGAATGCAAGGGATGATTGCCCTTTTCATTTAGTCATATAGTCCAAGCTTAAGGGAAGGAAGGACAGATATTCACTTCGTTGACTTTTATTTTCTACAGCTGCATTCTGTTGACGTGCTGTTGAGAAAAAAAGTTGATTAAATGCCATAAACTGGAGGACAAAACTTTATGTAAAAGTGATTGCAACCCTTTGTATTATTGGTGATGAGGAGCAGTGAACTTGATTAAGTCTCTTGTCTTTTAATTAGCGGTGCTAACAGCTCTTTAGTGTTTTCATGTATATATATATATATATTCGTTTTGTTCTTGTCTGTCTTTCATAAAATATGCTAATTTTATATATTTTGCTCTTTGTTTTCATTTGAAGAGTAGAGGCTTCCTGAATACATGTTTTATTTTTAAACCAATGATGCCAGATTTTATGGAGTGCTTTTTGTAATGTTGTTTTGCTTTTGAGGCACAGCCCATGCTCTGCAGTTTCCTAGCTGTTGCGCTTGTACCCCCCTCGCTTGCAGATTGGTGCCATTATTCTGTCACTAGAATGTGCTTGTTGCTCACCATGGTTGGCGTTTGTCTTTCTAGGTTGATCACTCTTCTTTCCAGCACAACATACCCTGTTGATTCATAGCATGCGCACACAAAGACATAATGGACGCAATATACAATGCACTATATCTTTAAGTTTCTGCTGCCAAAGTAATGTTTTCTTGTAAACTAATATGGAATCATTTTATTCTTGAACCTCAATCAACCAAATCAATATTCAGTACTCGCATTTTGTTTCTGTGCTGATCTTCTCTTCGCTTTCCTCCTGCCCAAGGGAAAAAAGACAAAGGAACTTAGTTTTTCCCAGAAGAGCACAAGCTGTTGACTAATACTTAATTCATTTCCAAGCGCGCATATGCTCATATGTAAAAACTGCATTTCATTTTTATACATCAGAATGTGCTCAACCTCTTACCCCTCAGACACTGTACACTGCATATGCTCATTAATCTCATAGGTCGCTGCAGTATCAAAATGAAATGACTTTTTAATGCAATGATCAACATGTGCTTTTGCAGTCAACACTGTCAGTAAATCATATTTATAAACTTTGTTCTCTGCGCTGATAAGAATGATTAAATGAGAAATGGTTCCTATATTTTGTTTCTCTTTACTCTGCAGCCTCACAATTTATTTCATGAAAGCAGTGAATCTGGAACATAAAAGTTTTGGATAGAAAATATCTGGACTATGTTTCCTCTCTTTAAGAACATTTATGAGAAAAATTACATGTTCTCATCTGTCTGTGACGTCGAGTTTTAAGAATCTTGCTCTCTGCTAATAGGACCACTAGCGTTTTCTGTGAGTATCAAGTTTCCGGCTCTTTTTAGCACTGTTTTTGTCACCCTTCTTGTCCTTCCGCCCCGTTTTTTTGGGTGAGGAAGATTGGAGGTTGAAATGACCACCCTTGTTGTGCTTAAAATTTTCTGTTCCATGACCGTTCTCATGGGTGTTTTGGTGATAGGGACCGGAGGAAGCGTCAGAAGCCATTGAGTCATCACTGACTTCATCAGCAGCAGCAGCAGCAGCATAGTGATAATTATTACTCACATCCTGAGCCTTGTAGTTATTACCATCATAACTGCCCTCGTCATCCTCATCTTCTTGCACGGGAGAGGCAAGGTACGTTGTCCACCCAGATTCGCTGCTGCTGCATCCTTCTGCGCCTAAAATGTGTTTGTATGAATCCATTTCTGATGCTGAGGGTAGAGACGAAGGGAGTCTGGTTGAGCTTTTCTGAGAGAATTACTTTTTGCTGTCTTTAGATCTATCTTGGAAGGCTAAAGAAGCGAGGGAGAGACACAGTTGTGAAACAAAATTATACTCTGAAGACTGCATAAAATCCCTATTTATGGTGAGCTAGAATGAGCTTTGACATCACATATTCATTCTCTGTATATTTTTATATATTTCTAAAAGCTATCCCTTTTTAACAACCAAAATACAGGTTATCATAGCTAACTCAATGTGGGAAGCTATAAAATAAGGGAGCCCGAAACAAATTGAGGTTCTCTCTTGGTTTACATATAATCATAGAAAACAAATAATAAAATCTTTTTTATTTTGTCAGCATCTACATATAATCATAGAAAACAAATAATAATTTTTTTATTTATTTTGTCAGCATCCACCTAAATGAGAAACCAGCTTTTAGTGAAGAACTGGTGAGGTCATTTCATATCTCTTTTAATCAATTCTGTCTTCTTTTCTCTTTTTTTTTTTGAAGATTTTTAAACAGTTCTGTCTTGTAACCATAATGCAGAAAAACCCATTCCTCAGTTCTGGAAGAATACGAGACCCTTATCCTTAAGCATGTTAAAGGCTAGCCTACCTACTTGTTATTTTCCTTTCAAGCCTTCAATTCTCTTTCTTGTCAGACAGCAAGGTCAGCTCTTGTAGACAAAATCTGCAGAGAGGTACCTAACAGGTTATTGATATTCTAAATTAAAAATATGGGGACTCCCTAAGATCTCCTTGCTTTTGTTCGGTCAATTCATGTTTGCTGCCTTTAAAGCTGGCTAGTGACTTCTAGCCACTTGGATAAGAATGAAGCAGAGCTTCTTCTTGGTCTCACAGGATCATAGTTGAAAAGTGAAGTTAACGTCATCTGAAACAATCCTACTTTCAGAATATTTACGTTACACTTTTCAGTTTTGTTTATATGGAAGAAAGCTGATAGGAAATGAACGATAGTGGCTTTGTTACGTCAGGATTACTGTGTTATCACTCTCTTTTTACATCAGAAACTCGACAAAAACTTGCCGGAAATCTGGAGTGAAAGATGACGCTTGTGGCTGGCCAATTTCAGTGTGCTTGGTAGCTGTCATGTTCCTGGTAGTTTTGATATATAAAATTAGATCCGAAAATACCTTATTAAAATCAAAACACTGATCAGTATTTCTCACTATAGGCTAACCATGGAGAGTGATAGCGCCAGTCGTAGCTTCTGTGTTCAAATCTTTCGTTACAGGATTCGCATCAAGAGGTTTTCGGTTTCAAAACAAGACACTGAAGATCGATTGTTGAATCCATGATTTGCACTTGTTTGTTATAATTTTAGTTTTTCAGAAATTCCATCTGAGCATTATATCAAAATTGAAAAGCAAGAACTCAGTGGCAAGAACACGATGAGTGGAGTGAGTGTCTCAATTTTAATCCTGCATTCTTCCTAAAAGAATTTGATTTGTTAGAAATTTATTTAAGGCTTAAAAACACCATCACACATAAAAAAAAATATTTTTTTTATATATTTTTTAATATAATAACATTAAAAATAATTTAAAAAAATATTAGATCAATATATTTTTAAATAAAAAAATATTTTAACAAAAAAAACCAATATATCTAACTGTAATGTGATTGGGCCAAAGCCCACTCCAACTTGATAGTTGATAGTGCGGCCCGGGCTAAATAATAGCGTAGGAACAAAATCATCTAGACGACCTGTCTTTGATTTCCCAGTCGTGTAAATGGCTTGTTCTATGTTTTCAGTAAAGCAAATGACTTGTGGTCTTCTACTTATAAGAGCTTGCTATGATTTAGATTCTGTTTTGTTTGTGTCTAAAAAGATTTTTTTTTTAATTATTTTAATATTTTTTTTTTTAATTTTTTTTTTAATTATTTTAATGTTTTAGTATCAAAAATAAATTTTAAAAATTAAAATATACTTTAAAAAACAACTTACACTCAAATTATCTAGATCAAATTCAACCCGTCATAAATCAACTTACTTTAACATGTCTAAATTCTTTTATAAAATTCTTATTTGTATAACATTTTACTGTTTTTTTTACTGAATAAATTATGTCCAAACAATGTTTCGAAAATAATATTTTTCATTTATCACTATGCCTTCGAAATGATAATTGTTCCATGACTTATGCTCTATGCTTCTTTCGACCCATTTCGAAGATGTTGACCCTAATATTAATTGTTCTTTGCCCCTCGGAGTGCAAATCTTACAAAGTTGATTCGGCATGGAATATCCGAAGAATATGTTCAAACCCGAGACAGTCTTTGCACTTACTGCTACTGTTCGAACACAAATGTCTCCCACTATCCACAGTTCATAGACCTACCTCTCTTTCCATCACGCCATTATTAACCCTTTTGCGTTTTCACGCCGCCACATCCACTAATACTAACCAATATTATAAAATTAAAATTAAAAAAAAAAACTAAAGGAAATGTTAAAGTATTCTGGACTCAAGTCTCTTAACTCTTTTTTTGGTCATTTGAATTTTTTTTATCATGTTTAATAAACTTTTTTTTAAAAAAAAAAACTATCATTGATGGTTGTATTGAATTAGAATTAAATTTGGTGATTTATTTTAATTTATTTTTTATAAGAAGATTATTATTGATGCTTGAATTTAAAAAAAAACTATTTTATTTTTTATAAAAACAATTTCAGGAACCAATATGTTCTATGAGGCAAGAATTTAAATCATTTTTTAACTCCTATTCAAATCATGAATTTTTGTAAGATTTTTGTTACAAGAATTTGTTCAAATTTATTTTTTATCCCAAACTTTATTTTCATTATATTTTAGTTTTTAAGTTTGAAAAAGAAAAGAAACACACCAAAAAATGATGAAGAAGATAGAAAACAATGAAGCAAATGATAAGTCATTTGTTACAATAAATAATGCATAATTTATTTTTATTTTATTATTAAAAAAATTATAATGAAAGTGATCTACCCTTTAGCTAAAAAAATAAAGATAAAAAGGGACTCGATGCACATGCTCAATGTCCTTGGCATATGCGTGATCCCTTTCCATGTTTTTTTTTTAATTTTTTTTAATTTAAATATAATTTAAGAAAAATATAATTAACATGATATTTGAATTATTTAATTTTCTATAGTTCTTAAATATTTTTATTGTGAGAGTGTTAACAATATTGTTTTTCAATTATTATGTGTCTAATATGATAAAAGAAAATAAAATTGGTCATGAATCCTTAATGAAAGGAAAAATTCTATTCTTTAAATTTCTTAATTTTTGGCATGATTTTATCACATTTATTATTATTTTTTCCTTCAATCCAAAATATTGAAACATTATTTTGATAGTTTTTTTTAATTAAAAACTTTCTTCTAAGATTATGGTATTTTTTTTATTTAAAAGAGTGCCTATAGTTTAAAAAAAAAAACATGTTCTTGTTAAAAGAATAAAAAATATATTAACAAGGATATATGGTTAGATTGAAGGAAGACATTTAGCCTTGATAATCTTATTCGTTGTCTTTCATCCTTATGTTGATTTCTGTAATTTTTTAATTAAATTAAAAAAAATTGCAAAGTAAAGTTATTTAAAACAAATACAGCCATAATTTAAGAAATAAGTTGGGCATATTAAAACCAGTTTAGCCCATGTCAATTCAGAAACTCATTATTTCAATATTTTTCTATAAAAAATATTAAATCAATTTATTATTTTTTGTATTTTCTAATAAAAATCAAAGCAGGTTTTCAACTCCCTCTTGATGTATTTTAAAACTTGACTCGGTCTAAGGACGGAATTGATGAGGTGACCATGTTAACCCACCGGGCTTTCTCTTGGTTACTTATAATATATATTGCCGAGTAGTTCGACGCAGCAGCTCGCAGGCAACTGCCTAGCATGATCGAATGGCGTAGAAAGGGCCTGAAGATAAAGGCTTCCACATGTCTAGATGCCTTGTTATCCAATTATATTTTCCGGTGACTGAAAAGAAAATCTCCGAGACTTTGCGGCCGAAGATCTTTCTATCGACATAGTTCACTATGAAGGGTCAGTTCTTCAGCAAGGGGTATAATTCTCAGAATGTTTAAGCTGATGCTGCTTTTAATTAAAAATGATTACATAATCTAATTAATACCTCTTTAACAACCCCTCGTGCTATTATTTTACCACATTTTTCTACCACAAACCCTTTTTTTTCTAGACTCTGATGATTAGCTTACAGAGAGAGAGAGAGATTGAGAATTAAATAATCTTGATGAATTTTTTTTTATATAATTATGTACTTTGTTAAAAAATATTAATATAAAGAGATTATTAAATTATTTTTAACTACAACATCAAAAACGTATTGCTGCTAAACATCATTTAATAAAATATGGCAACCTTGAAAGAAGTAGTGATAATTAAAAAAAAAACTTGAGTATCTATTTTGGAGCACTTGATTTATTAAATTATTTTTCTTTTTGTTTCCCTATTGTTTTCTTTTTCTTTTTTAGATTTATTTTGGTTTGTATTCTCTGAAATTCTTTCTTTTTTCCGCATGGTTAATTATTTGCTTAATAATAAGGGAGCTTTAATAATACATCAATTTTTATTTTATTTTTTGAAAAAAACTTCAGGATATGATCTCCTTAACAAGTTCAAGTCACAATAGAGCAAGAATCAACAGGGTGTATCCATGATTCATTGAATCTAGTCTCGCATCAAGAAAACTAATATATTTATTTATTTCTTTTTTTTTTCAATTTATCTCTACCTTGAACGAAAAGATTGAAGTCCAAGATCCTTTCTGTATCTTGTCTGTATCTTGTGGTGTAACATCTTTCTAGATCCCTTTTAAGTTTCAAGTAATCATGGGTTTATATTACAAAACTCAGTAATTAAATTCGAGATTAATTTTGCTGCAAATTGAAGACCATTTCCTTTAAAAGCACAAAAAAGAACGATGGTTTGTTCTAAATTATTTTAAAAAAACTGTCACCTTCTCATTTCATTTTTAGTTAGCAATCATAAGTCAACATTATTATAGTCCGTCCAAGTATACAAGTATTGCTGCTAAACATCATTTAATAAAATTTGGTAACCTTGAAAGAAATAGTAATAATAATAATAAAAAAAAACCTTGAGTATCTATTTTGGAGCAATTGATGTATTAATTTTTTTTGAAAAAAGGAATGAAAGAAGAGAAGAGGTCA